CAGCTGGAGCCGCCGCCGCCAGAGTAGCCACCGCCGCAGCTGGAGCCACCGCCGCCCCCAGAGTACTTGACGCCCCCCCCGGAGCCGCCTCCACCGCCGCAGCTGGAACCACCTCCATAGGAACCACCGCCTCCGCCTCCGCAGCTAGAGCCTCCTCCAGATGAGCCACCTCCGCAGCTGGAGCCGCCACCGCTACCACCACCGCTACAATAGCCGCCGCCGCCGCCTCCTCCACCAGAGGTCTTTCCACAACCCACGGGAGGACAGGGAGTGGGCTGCTTTTTCTGGTGAGACATCTTCTTTAAGAAGAAGGGGAACCCTGGAAGAAGAGCAGAAGAGCAACATTGGACCAGCAGCAAGAGGATGCTGTGAAGGAGGAAGATGCATACAAGCCAACATCCTTCTGACTGCCAGCTTCATGGCAGGTGTCTGAACTCCATTCATGGACTGGATAGCTCTTCAAAAATCCCGTTAGTAGTGCCTCCCTTTCCCCTCAGCTCTGCCTTTCTTCTGCTTTGTGATTTGAAGGGCAGAACCCTCACATTCCCTGCTTTTGATCTTCCTTCCATTAAGGAACACTTCATCTCTAAGGGTGCTCCCAAGTTCCAGTGCTGATTCTTTAAGTTAAGTAGAAAATTGCAAAAAATCCAAAACAGACAAACAAACAAACAAACAAAAAAACAAACAAAAAAAACCCTTCCACCTGGATTTTACCCATTCCCAGCACAACAAGAAAAGATTTATTTTGACATCAGCTGACTGTAGGACACATTTTCTCAAAAAGTCCTTAGTTTAAACTCTTGATTTATTCTATTGAGTGAGGGTATGCTCCAAGGGCCAGTTATTAGACAAGACAGCTCTACTGTGGTCCTGTCTGCAAACAGAGGGAAGAACTCTGAACCTTTTGGGCCAGTACATCTAACCAGAAGAGAGCAGACATCTTTTTGAGGATATGCAGGAGTCTAAATTTGGTAGAGAACTGCAGCTAGTAGGAAGTTGTAGCTCAGCATCTCACAAGTCATTTGTCTGTCAAAACATCTGCCCTCATAAACCAGAGCTTGGATTTTTTTGTGGCTTCTCAAATATCTCCCATTAGCACCATTCTATGACTTATCCTTCTTACTCTCTCTCCAATAGTGAATTCAGTCATGCCTGGCAGGTTCTAAAGGATCATCCAGCCCATGGTGGCCTGCCATTGCAGCCCTCCAGTGTTCTAGCCCTCAGCTACTGGGGTGCCAGAGAAGTAGGAGATGGTCCCTTCTTGGAGTTTTAGCATTCTGCCCAGAAGACCAGACACATCACCTGCCCAGCAACAGCTTACCATTTTCCCAGTGCTTTCCTAAAGCCCTTCTTAGTTTGAACACAGTACCTTCCAAAGGAGAGAGGCCCTGTCCCTTAACCTCTCTGCAGGCTGAGCAAGGCCAGCTGGAGCTACCAGAGAGCCAGGAGAGCCCACACTTACCCGAAGCACCAGGGGAGATGAGTGAGGGAAGGAGGTGATGGTGATGTGAGGGACTCAGGGGCTCCTGGTGTTTTATACTCTTTGCCTGCTCTGACTCACCTATTGATCAGGCACCTCCTCCCTGTGATTGCAGACAAAGGATTGACCCATTCATGAAGATTTCAAATTCTTGGGATAGGGATAGGCAGTTTAGTGTATGACTGGCCACCTCTCTGATGTAACAGTGAGCAGGTTGGTCATTAGAGATGACCAGCAGAGTGGATGGTAGAAATTGTTTTCAATACTTCTGTATAGGTTGCGTGCCATATCCAGAGGACTATTCTTGGGGACTAGGTTCCAGACTTGTGAAGCAGCCTAAGGGAATCTAAAGATCTAAGACATAGAAGCCCATGCAGTTGTACCTTTCTAATTTTGATGTTTGATTTTGATTTCATTACTCTGGAAATCCTCAAAATTTTAGAATGCATCTCTATTTTGCCACAATTTCTCTAAGCCAGTTTCATGAATGCTTCATTGGGTTGCTTCTGTTCTGCTTAGCTTATAGGTTGTCAGAGGTCATGAGTCCAAAGCCCCCAGTTTGGGATAGTATAACATGGACCCCATTGTAACTAACATGACTCTAGTCTACTTTAAGTTATTCCTAGTGAGATTAGGTGTTTTGATCTTTGGTACTGAGCACTGACTTTACTTGCAAAGGTAAGAACTAACAAGACAGAACCTCGGGGCCTTTCCACCATGACCCTTTGGTTCTGATGTCCTGTGGTGCTGCACAGTGACTCTGACCTCTGAGGTGCAGCCATAGAGTGGAATGGACTTACGGTTCATAGTTGGATTTACTTCTTCCCATTACTATTTGCCAGCTATGTCACCATGGGCAAAGTCACGGTAGTTCGTGCAATATCACCAACAGGGGAGTTACTGAGTATTTGTTGATTGTTGAGCTGTTTGATCCTCATTTTGTCTACCAAACAGGAATCCTAATATTTATTTCATGGGAACATGAAAAAGGAAGTTATGAAGTGTGAATGTGACATGACAGAACACTCTTACTTCCAGTCATGACTGCCCTTGGACCCTATTGGAAAGAAGGTATATGAAGCCATTTCAGCTGTTCTCCTATAAGGTTAACTCAGTTCTCTGATGACCCCAAGGCCAAGAGCAGCCCCTCTGTGTATGAAGAACATAATGTTTTTCCCTTCTTTCATCATTGGAACTCAGTTGCTATTAAGATACCGCTGTTGAACCTTGTTCCACCCAGCTGTGTTGAAAGAACAATTCTAATCAGAAATTGTCTTAATTATGGGGGAGCATTAACGATCTAAACGATCCTGATTAGACTCTGGCTTTCAGAAACTTGTGGCACTTGTTTCAGTTTGGACAGTATGAACTCAGGTAAACCAAGGAGGATCTTGGGTGTTCCTGTCCTTGGAGGATACACTAGGGAAAGAAGCCAGGATCTGTGGGAGAGGGCGGGTTTCTCAGCTTGAAGCTGAGACACCATGGTGGCTTTGGAGGGAAACAGCACCTTCTTTTAATAGTGGTTGCCAAGGGTAGAAGTTGCTTAGTCAGGCAACATGGGATCAAGTTTGAACCGTGGCTTCTACCACTGATCTGTGGGCCACAGTACACTCACCAGGCTTCAGGAAAAGTCCAAGTTAGCATGAGGTCAGTAGGTTATTTTGGGGAAGAGACGTCTGTAATTCAAAAATTATAGCCTTCCTTCCTCTTTTGTGTTTACCATGTATTATAAAAAGATGACTATCTGAGCTGAAAGGTGCTTTCATACTCTGTGTTAAATGAAATATTTTAATTTTTATTAAAAGCGAATTATGTATTATACAAAATAAGCAGTTTATTACATCCCTATACATTCGTATAATGTCATTTGATCATATTCATTCCCACTAGCATCCTGTTTTGCCTCCTTGCCATCTTTCTCCTTACAAATCCCTAATAGACCCCCTTCTACTTTAATGCTCCTTTTTTCCTTCCACAGATTCCCGATGTCAGAGACATAAGGTATTTATATTGGTGAAACTAGCTTATTTTGCTTAACATAATGATATCTAGTTTCCATTTTCCGGCAACAGATACATTTTATTCTCCTTAGGGGCTGAATAAAATTCCATTGTCCACATATGCCACATCTTCTTAACTAAACAACACCTGTGCTGGTACCACAGGTTGGCTGTTGTGATGCAGTAAACTCAGGTATACAGGCAACTCTGGCCTGAGTTAACTTGATTCTGTTGGGTGTATACCCAGAAGCAGTATAGCCCTGTCATATGCAAGTTGTATTTTTCATATTTTGATAAATCTCTACAGTGATTTCTGTAGTGGCTGGACTTATTTACGTTTTCATTAGAATCGTTAGTGTTCTCAACTCCTTCAAATCCTTACCATTTTGCTTGTTTGCTTTCTTCCTTCTTGTGGAAAATCACTCTGACTAGAGTGACATGGGAATCTCCATGTAGCTTTAGTTTATATCTTCACAGTGATTAAAATGCTGAACTTTTGACTGTTTTAAAAGTGCTTACTTTAGGACTGGAGAGATGGCTCAGTGATTAAGAGCACTGGCTACTCTTCCAGAGGTCCTGAGTTCAATTCTCAGCAACCATATGGTCACAAGCATCTGGGGATCTGATTCCCCCTTCTGCTGTGTCTGAAGACAGTGACAGTGTTCTTGAATACATAAAATAAATAAATCTTTTTTAAGTGCCCATTTTCTTTATTTGCTCATTTATTTATTAGATTATCTGTTCTTTTTAGTGTTCAATTTTCAAAATATGTTTGGTATCTGAGTTGTCCATTGAGTGAGTAGCTCATGAAGCCTGTCTCTCCCAACATTCTGCAAGTTGCCTCTTACTGTTTACTTTGTACTCCAAAACCTTTTGTATTTCTTATAATCACATTTGTTATTTTTTTCTGTAATTCCTTGAGCTATTAGAGACTTTGTCACAAAGTCGTCGCCTGTGCTCTATCTTGAAGCGTTTCCTTTAGTAGTTTCAAAGTTTTATGTCTTAAGGTACAAGTTTAGTTCCATTTTGAGTTGGTTTTTGTACAGGGTGAGATCTAGGGATACACTTTTAGTCTTTTATACAGCCCCAGAGGTTTTGAGGGACATAATATTTCTATACGGAATTTTAAACCTTGGAAAACTCAAGTGCAGTCAATTCCAAACAGCTAACAATTCAAAATGTCTAAGAACTACACTTAGTTTTAATTGACACCTGATTGCTGAACTTTTATGGATTATAGTATGATAATTCTTCCACTTTTTAATTAACTTATGTAGTTCACAAAGAATTTTAGTCATTTTCACACTCATTCTCCTTCTTCTCCCCCTAGTTTTCTTCTTCCTAAGACTTGACTCCTATTTTTACATCTTCTTTTTATGTGTGGTAAACTGAGATGAATTTTTTTTTTAGTTTTTATATGCTTTATTTACTTCACTATATCCAAATGCTAACACCAAAAGATGCAGTAAATATAAAAATGTTACTGAGACACCTTGCATTCATTTTCTCTTATTTAATAGTCTTTGAAATCAGTCATAATAGCACATTTTGTTGTTATTGGTGTCACAGTCCTTAACAGAAACAGATTGGATTAGATCATAATGGGCTTTGTATTTTATATCATAATCAATGATTCTTCAAATACGATGGTTTCTAATGATAACAATACTAAACCAAAAGAATAATTTTTTTTCTTTTTCTTATTGGATGTTTTATTTACATTTCCTATGTTGTCCCCTTACCCCATCCCCCACCCACCCCGGAACCCCCAATCCCCTCATCCCTCCTCCTTCTTCTCTGTGGATGTAACCTCTAT